AGCTTGCCAGGTTCAGCCTGGAGGGGAGGAGAAAGAAAAGTCCCTGCCAGGGTAGAATTTTGGTGCAGGAGGTGTCCCAGCGTGAGACTGGACCATGCCATGGCTGAGTGTGCCAGGAGCCGGCAGTCAGTGGGGCCCAGGGATGCTCCAAGGGACTTGGAGTTTTGTTTCTGACTCCTTGAGCAGCTTCTTCAACCTTCTCTCAGTGCCTGAGGGTGCTGGACTCAGCCCCAAATGCAGCCTGGGGTTCATTAAAATACAGAAAGCCTCGGGGGCTCTTTCTCTTCCTTCCATTGTCTTCAAGTCCAAGGCTTGTGCAGCTGCTTGGAGTCAGTTTGGAGTTCTGTTGAGGAGGAAGATTTGAAAATCCACCACTTTTTTATTTTTTTTTTTTTTTAAATCAAGGGTGTATTTTTTTCTTTTCTAGTTGAGAGAAGAGGTGACAGAAGCATTCCCCAAGTGATCTTGATGCTGAATGTCTCCTTAGGAGGTCTGGTCACAGAGAAGAATGAGCCCCTTGTGGGCTGCCCCTGTTTGGACAACCTGCTCCTCACCCCGAGCCTCAGCATGTCTGACATCGCCCACCTGGGACTGACATCCCAAAACATTGAAAACATTTATCAACTTTTCTTTATCATTAAAATCTAATTAATTTATATAAAAATATATTTTTTATTATAATATTATTCTGTATTTTTATAACCTAATTTTTATATTTATATGAAAGAATTTATACATTTTTAGCAACTAAAAACATTATTGATCCTTGCTTCTAAGTACCACAATCCCCTTCTTTAATTAATTGACCACTCTTTCACCCTCTTTATGCTCATTATTCCTATTTTTAATCCTTTGATCATCAATTTTAAATTATTCTCAGACAGGGTAAAAGGAGCAAGTTTGGGGTCCATGGAGACTTTTCTGAGGAACATTTGGGGCAGTTTTGGGTCTGGGTAGGGAATTTAGAGACAACCTGGGGGTCTGGAGGGCACTTGGGAGAGCCGGGTGGGCACTTGGAGGGGCACTTGGGGATTCTGTGGGACAGTTCAGGGTCCCGGGGAGAACTTGGGGGTCCAGGGGGGCACTTGGAGGTCATGGAGGGGAATCTGGGGGCCCTTCGGGGTCCGGGCGGGCACTTGGGGGGCTGTAACAGGGAATCTCTGGGCCGCGGGGGATGATGGGAGTTGTAGGCGCCGGTATAATACGGTTTAATGGGGCCGCGGAGCATCATGGGAGTTGAAGGCGCAGCTCCAATGGGTTCCGGTGGGACGCGGGGCATGACGGGAGATGAAGTCCCGGCTGGAATAGCGCTCTATGGGCGCCGCGGAGCATGATGGGAGCTGTAGTCCCGGAAGTGGCTCCGAAGGCGCGTTCGGCGGTGTGGGGAAGCCCTTGGAGAAGACTTCTGCGTCCGAGCTGCAGGTGCTCGGGGCGAATGTACACGGCTCGGGAGCACTTGGGGGGAACCTGGGGAGCTGTGACCGGGCTCTTTAGGGCGCGGGGCACGGCAGTAGGTTTGGGCACAGAACTGTGTTGTGGGATGATGGGAGATGAATTCCCAGCAGTGGCTGGAAGGGGAATCTGTGGGGTCGGGAGCATTCAGGGATCCAGGGACACTTTGGGGGGCCTCGAACGGGCGCTGAGGGGGCAGTCGGGGATCCTGAAGGGTCTGGGGGACACATGGGACCTATGGGGGGCGATCCCGGGGTTCTGGGGAGTGCAGGGCATATTCGCAGTTCCTCACAGCCTGGTCTCAATTGCCCCCTGGAGGCTCCTACTGACTGCCAGTCTGGTCCCAGTATGATCCCAGTATGATGTCAGTATGATCCCAGTATGATGTCAGTACACAGCCAGTGCAATCTCAGCCACTGCCAGGATGATCCCAGTACAAACCAGTCCCTGCCAGTGCTGCCACTCCTGGGATCCCCCAGCCCTCTCTGTGTTCCCCGGTCCCACATCTCCCCAGAGGAGCCCCAAGGGCTGGCAGTCCCCAGCCAGGGTCCCCAGCCAGCCCCAGGTTGGATCTGCAGCCCCCAATTTTCCCAGTTTCCCTCTCCTTTTCCCCGGGCCGGGTTCCCCCCGTCCCCAGCGGGTGGGAGCAGCGGAGAGCCCCGCGCTGCCCATCCCGACCTGTCCGGCTCCATCCCCGCTCCTGCCGTGGGCTGTGAGGGGTTTGGGAACGGGGCACCGAGGGTGTCACTGCTCCTGGGGGAGGAGGGGAGGGATGGAAGAGGAGGGAGGAAGAAGGAGAGAGAGAAGGGATGGAAGTAGGAGAAGGAGGTGGGGTTAGGGAGGAAGAGGAGGAGGAAGGATGGAAGGGGAGGAGAGGGAGGAAGAGGAGGGACAAAGGAGGATCACGGAAAGGAGAAGGAACCACAAGGTTGAGCACTCCTTGAATTCATAGCCCCCTCCTGTGGGATCATCACCCACCATCCCACAGGTGATGGGGGAGTGGGAGCTTTGCCCGGATATCCTGGGGGGGTCCCTGGGTTGGGTTTATTTTGCAGGGGGGAATGTTTGGAGAACGTGGAACTCCAAAGCTGAGCGGAAAATCCTACTTGGGGGGACATTGGGGGGGTCTCACCATCCCTAAGTGGGGAAATGGAAATGGAAAACTTTTCGGATTCCTGGCACTCCCAGCAGCCTGGGGATGGTAGGGACCGAGCAGACAGGTTGTCCCCAGTACAAGCTTGACTCCCAGCAGCTGGGACAGGCAGGAACCCTTGAACCTTCTCTTCTTGAAGACAGGGGAGACTAGAGATG